TTAAAAAATGACTCTCTAATTAGGTTGAAAATAACTATAATTCATTATAAAATATATGAAAAAGCCTGATAGGCCAAACCAATTCCAAGAATATATTATAATATTTTAAAAATTTAAAAAGTAGTCGAATTTCGGAAAAAAAATTTTTCAAGCCGTATACGAGGTTTGTCAAAAAATAATGAATTTTGCTCAAGAGTAAAGTACGTTTATTTTTGACAAAATCGAAAATTTTCATTAGGAAAAGTTGATTAGAATTGAAAATTACATATACAATTACACCGATCTATCTGAAAAATCAGATTTTCCTAGATTTTGCACTGATCCACCTAATTACAGTAATCCATAATTTTTTTTCTCTCTTTTCTAATATAAACATGATGCGCTTTCCTTTTCTTGATATTTGTGAAGAATTTAGCAATTTTCTTAATGAAAATTTTCGATTTTATCAAAAATAAACGTACTTTACTCTTGAGCAAAATTGATATTTTTTGACAAACCTCGTATACGGCTTGAAAAATTTGATATCTGATGACTGTATTTTAAGTTTTGGGTCATGCAGGACTTTTTATCAAGAATAACTTTTTTTCCTAAAATCAATAATACATTTTTTTCCATATGGTTCCAACTTAAGTAGACACACTGTATAATACAGAGGGCATACACAAGACAAAAACCGTTTATTAACTATGTGCATAAAAAATAAATTATGAAAAAAATAAAAGTAAAGTTAATTTTAACGCCCAAAAGAACTGTTTATACGGGATTTTAAGCATCCCTTAATACTTTTGATGAATTTCCTGAAAATTCCGGACAATTTATAATTCCCGGCGCATTCCAAACAAAACCCAAAATTCCGGACACGTCCGGACTTTTCCTGACGTATGGTAACCCTACTATAGTCTGAATTAAAATGTAATGAAGTAATCTGTGGTAAAAGTGAGGATATAATGTCACATTCCATAGGCGTACTTTGTAAAAATAAGTTTTCATAATAAAATTAAGAGTACGAAATACAAGGTGGCGAATTAGAGACAGTCAACCTCAAATATTATTTTGTTATCGAGGAAGACAACTTTTGATTGTTAATTCATTGTTGAACGGTCAGCCCCCTAAAAGGGGTGGCAGCTCCTTCGAGAATCTTTAATGGCATGGGGGGTTGGCACATCATTTGAAGAAATTTCGATTCTTTGTACAGATATGCTAATATTTTTGTGTTAAGTTTAAAATATCCGTTAAGGACAGGGTCTCCCTGCTGTAGACCAAAAGTTAAATCGACCTATTTCCGAAAGTAGGGCATTAAAATTTAATTTCCATCCCAACTAGAGATAAAGGTCTAACTTATATAGTGTTACTATTTTAAATTGTTAAATTGACGATTTTCAATAAAAACCATAATTTTAAAATAACAAAATTTTTTCATTTCTATGGAGACGTTTAACGGTTTTTTTACTTTAAAATTATTCTTTTAATTGAAAATGAATTATTCATCAATACCTAAGTAATACCTTTATCTTTACTTTGGCTGAAAATTACATTTTTAAATTTATTAACATCTTCGGAAATCCATGGTCTACATAGAAAGAAATCTGAATAAAAAGCTGCAATTAATAACTAGAGACTGAAACAGCAAAAAAGATATTTATCAGCATTTAACGAGATAAGATAATAGTGTTTAGTTGAATTTTACAGGTACCTAGTTTAATTTTAGTGAAATTTCTTCATTTGCCATTTGAAAGTAAATGAACCTAATTATCATGGTTTACACCACTGCAGAGAGAATTGATATTGTCGCACACTATTTTAGAAACAACAAGTTTTCTCGGGCAGCTGCAAGAGTTTTAATGAACGGCAGTCCGGTAAGAATGTAAGACATCCTTATATATTATATATTATAAATTTATTATATAGTATATAATAAATTTAATGTCTAAATTCATGGAGACTGGAAACGTTTCTAACAGAAAATATGAAAGACAACATCCTGTTAGTAACGTAGTTACACAGGTTGCACTTTTGGGGCATGTTGCATTGGATCCCAACTTCAAGCACGAGACAAATAGCAGCAGCTACAGGAATTCCACGTAGAAGCCTTCAGAGGGTCTTCAAACGGCATAAATTCCATCCCTATAAGATTCATTTCGTGCAAGAGCTCAACGAAGACGGATCAAATTTTGTGAGGAGATGACTAGAAGATTTTTGGACAATCCTCACTTTTTATATTCGACATGATTTTCTGACGAATGCACGTTCTTTCTTAATGGTCACGTGAACAGACATAATTGCAGATACTGGAGTGATGCAAATCCTGCAATTATGAGAGAATAACATACACAGAATCCCCAAAAATTGAATGTATGGGCTGGGGTTTTTGGAAATAATATTGTTGGTCCGTTTTTTCTACCTTATAACTTGATGGGTAAATCTTATCATAATCTGCTCGAAGACAACATCTACCCTCACATTGTGGAAATAATGGAAAACGATGATCAGATCCCAGATAATGATTTTTTTTCAACAGGATGGCGCTCCACCACACTATGCAGCTCCTGTGCTTGACTTTTTAAATCAACATTTTCCCGCTCATTGGATTGGTAGAAGAGGTTCTATTGAATGGCCCCCAAAATCGCCAGATCTAACACCGTTAGACTTCTTTTTATGGGGTTATTTAAAATGTGTTATTTAAAAAACGCAACCAAACTCTTTAGAAGATCTTCGCCACCGAATAACTGTGGCATGTCGTGAAATAACTCCTGAAATGCTACAAAATGTTTGGAACAGTGTTAAACAAGGGTTTTATTACTGTTTTGAAGTAAATGGATCGCAATTTGAACACTTACTTTAATTAAAACTTTTCTGGCAACTTTTTTTTTTAATTTCCTTCACCCACAATTCCAGCTGGTTTTTGGCATTAATTGTAACACCTAACACAAAAATGTTAGCATGTCTGTAAAGAGAATCGAAATACCTTTCAAATGAGGAGCTACTCAACCCCCCATGCCATTAAAGATCCTCGAAGGGCTTGCCACCCCTTTTAGGAGGATGACCGTACAACCATGAGTTAATGATCAAAAGTTGTCCTCCTCGATAACAAAATCGACGTGTCTCAGGGGTTTGTCGCAAAAACCTCGCCCGCCAATAATATTTAAGGTGGACTGTTTCTAATGCGCTACCTTGTATGCCGTTACCTTATTTATATTATAAAAACTATAAAAACTTATTTTTCAAGTACGCCTATGGAATGTGACGTTTATCCCCACTTTTACTGTATTACTCTTGAACGAATTACCTAAATTTAACCTATAAATAATAAGGAAGATTATGTTGTTAATGTGATTCAACTTTTTTTAATCTCTTAACATTAAATGTAACACTTCATTACCTAAAATCAAAGATTAAAAAACTAAAAAGTTCAAGAACTATCTTTAAGTCACTATCTTCACTATAACTACTGGTATCATTCATTATCTTTTCATTTTATTTTCTGATGTTAATTATTATAGGGTCTATTAAGTTTCCCATTGTTATATCCACTTTTCAAAATAAATTTTTCACCTTTTTAACATGATCAATGCATTTTCTCCAATGTTCTCCATTTACATCTGAAACTGACTTCAAAAACAAATTTTATACAACCGGTGATAAAAATGTTGTATTGTTTCGAGAAACACAACGTTTTAATTGTGACCAGATCAGTTAAATCGACTGTGATAGGATGCAAACAATAACTGAGATGGCTTGAATTTTTTTTTATAATGTTCTGAAACTAATTTTCAAACATAGTGCCATCCATTTCTTCATGGTAGTCTTTTGTTTTCTTTGACTCGAACGTTAATAAACGATCTGGCAAAAATCCATCGATGCTTCCAATGTATGTTATTATTAAACGATTTCCTTTTCCTGTTGTATTTTTTAATCCACAAGAGACCCCGTTCATAAAGGCATGTTTTTGAGTTTTGATGGAGGTATCTTGCCAAATTTTTGTTACTGTATGTCCAGCATCTAAATAAAATACCTGTTTATGTTGATTCCTTGCGTCAGCCATTTTCCTTAAATAATCATGTCTGGACGCACTGATTTCGTTTTCCTCTGTTAAAAAGCTGTTTCTGTCACTTTTTTGTAATGGAAATTTAATTCATTTAATTTTTTTTCAGATAAAAATATGACATATTCAGAAGATGATGCTATTTTATATTTCTCAGTGTAAGTTTTTAAATGTAGGAATTTCATTTTGAGAGAAAAACAAATGTACCATTTGCCTTATTACACTTTCCATCCAAGATTTAATAAAGGTCTTATTTCTTCCTGGGGGCTTTTTCGGATGCGAGAATTCTCCAATATTTGTATCTTCTTTAATAATGTTATACACTGTCCGCTTAGATACTCCAGTATATGTCTCACATTTAGTGGTGACTGTTTCATCCACAGAAAGTGAAACAAAGTCTTTTCGAAGTTTATTAAATACATTAAGTACGATGTTTTTTCTTCTAAAGATAATGGTTTATGTCCACTAAGTCGTTTACACGTACTTGTGCTTGCAATATTTTCTAATGCACTCGCAATTCTTATATAACTGTAAAATTATAATACATAATAATACAAACTTCTGAATCAATTAAAACGATACGGCTATGAATAAATAAAGTATGACTTATCTGTCAAAATAAAATGTTTATTACAGTAAAAACCATGGAAATCATGATTAAATCTAAACGAAAACTTTTATTAGGTCGGTGTCAGATGTATTAAAATTTTCATTTTAACTACAAATAAGCATTGAAGGATGAGGTATAAAATGTCTTCCTCTTGAACCTGTATTACATTCTACAAATTAAATTACTGCACTCTTTCTCTAAACTATAATCATGTCTAGTATGTTCGTTTCAAATTTGATGAAAATCGCTTAATAAATAAAACAAATATTAACGTGGCCCTAGTCTAATTGTCACCCAGTATACATTTTATTAATATTAATTTGTATTCAAACAGTGTCTTTTTTGCAGGTTCAAACTAGTCAGCACTTGGTGAATCGACCCTTTAGCAGCGTCGTGCGGAGAGGTATTCACTCAATGCTGAAATTTCGACTCGTCTCCACACATTTTTTGAAACAGCCATAGATTGCGATGTGTCGTGATAGAGATATGAACCCTTTTGTGTTCGGCTTCATAACCATCTAATTAACAAAGTCGTAGCTTATATCATATTCATAATATTTCGTAATTGCTTAGGTGTACTACACGTAGGAGGTGCTTATAAATTCATTGTTACTACCTTGACTTGTGCAGCTAGACCCTTCAAAACAGGTTAGTACAAATTATTTAGCTATTAGATATTTGAACTTCTTTTGACTTCATTTTAGCGGCTTCATAACGCTTCAATCAATTGCAACATTATATGAAGCCGCCAAAATGAAGACAACGGAATATAAAAGAATAATAATTAGAATCTACAGCATTATCTGTAATTTGATATACCTGGCGCCAATTTCTTTATATATAATTATTATTAATGATATATTTTTGTTCCCTGAAGTTGTAATCGGGTACATAATGACTAATGACAGTGGTATCTAAATAAATATAAAACTTTTGAGTAAATATTGATAAAGGTATAAATCATCATTGATAAAAATTGATATTTATAAAATTGTAAATAATTCATGTCTGGCAAAACATAAAATAAATTTTACACGAAAGATTAGCACATATTATGCTGTTCAGTTTCTACACATTATTAGTCTAATCAACAAGTTCAAAAGCGTGTTTTTGGGACATAGTATTACAAAAATTATGTTCAATAGCTCATTCGGTTCGGAATAATGTCTAGATCAATGTGTGAAGAAACACTTTGCAGTGTATAAAAAATTGCAAAAGTTATAAACAATTAAACACCTCAAAAACATGGTGTTTGGTTTTTCGCCTATAGTTTGTAAACTATAAATATTTTTTGATTTTTCAAAAAAGATCCTTAAAGAGGAGGAAATTTGCTATAAATAAGTTCCGACTCCCGGAACTGTACCCCCCATTATTTATAATTTTAATTTAACGCTCAAAGTAGCCTTCCGCGCGCCATTTTTAGGTTGCGCGCACGGCGTCGAAACCGAGTACGTTACATAAAATAATTTTTTTAAGTTAATAAAATTAAATTCAAAAATTCAAAAATTTAAAAAAATTGCGGTGTATTCCAAAACACTTAGAAGAATTCATTCCCGTTGGAAATTTTCATAAAAATTAATTTTCCAACAAAGTAGGTTATTGTTAATTAACAAAATTTTTAGAATTTCTCTCATCGTTACAAATTGATAAAAATATTAAATAATTACCGTAAATTTTTTTTTTGCTTCATGGAGCTCTTTTTATATACATATAAAACAAAATAGCTTCATAAAAGTTAAAAAAATGTTAATACTTTGTTTATAATAATTTTTTAAAGTTTACAAAAACAGAAAAGTCATAGTGGTGCTATAAATTTTTTTTTTCAATTTATTATATTACTGTTTTAATGTCGAGAAAAATTTTTTTTCCTCCATTTGTTTATAAATGGAGTATTTCAATTTTTTTCAAATTTTTTTTTACAATTGCCAATTATGATTTTAAAAAACAAATTTTCTTAATAATAACTTTTAATTGTTTATAATCGTTTTTTTAATATATCTGTTGTTTAAATTATTAGTTAAGAAATGTGTTTTTTTTTAATCATAATTGACAGTCCTCTACAAAGTGACAGCAAAAATTTTTTTTTTTTATTAATAATTCCATTGTTTATTAAGTTAACAATTTGTTATAAACAAATTCCCAACTTTGGTTTATTTTTTTCCTGAAAGAAATAAAAATTCCAAAAACGACTTAGTGCATTAAAATTACGGAAAAAATTTTATTCCATTTTTTATTAAACTTAAAATATACGTACTATCAAAGTTGCAGCAGCTTATCCATTTGTTGACTTAAAAGTTGATATAACTTTTAAACTATTGAAGATACGACAATAAACATTCAAGTCATTTTTCTAGGAAATGAAATTATCTCTCAGATAAGTCATTTGTCAATTCCGTACCTATTGTCAATTTGTTGTTTTTTATATTTGTTTATAAAAATTGATTTTTTTTAAAGTTTTTCGAACTTTTCCGGCTTGTAAAAAAATTATAATAGTTTATAAAAAAATTGACTGAAAATTAAATAAACAATTGCAAATGTTATATAATTAATAGCTTAACAGAATTGCCTTGAAGTTCAATAACCGAATTTGCATTATTTACTGAGCTACAAGCCGCAATTGTTCGAAAAACAAATCAATTTTTAGTCAAATGTTTTCGGTCGCTCAAGGGCAACGTTTTCTATTGAATAATTAAAGATTAGGATATTCGTTTTTAAAGTGTAGAACATAACTTTACATTTATCCGGGTTTAGTGGCAAGTTAATTTGATAACACCATTCAACAACCCGTGTTAAATTTGCTGAGGTTCTCGCAATCACCTATCTTCTCCACGAGGTAGTATAGTTTTAGATCATCAGCATACAATAGGAAATTAACATTTATAACATCTGCAATATCATTAATGAACTTAATAAAAAGGAGGGGTCCCAGATTCGACCCTTGTGGAACACCGGAAGAAGCTCTATATTCAGCAGACCTAAAATCATTGAGCTGGACATATTGCTTTTGATTCCATAGATAGGATTGAAACAGTGAAATTAAAGAGGGAGATAATCCAAAAGCTACAAGTTTGTTGAGCAGAATCCCATGATCAAGTCTGTCAATAGATTCAGCAATATATTGGGTAACGGTCAGAAGGTTGGTGACTGTTAAAAGACTTTTCACGAAACCATGTTGATTTATACTTATATTACAACTTACATGACGACATATAACTCGCTCTAGCAGGATTACAAATACCTTTGCAAAGTTGCATATAATAGAGATAGGGGACGGGGTGGGTGGCTCAGTGGTATAGTCTCTGCCTGCGGATCCAAGGGTCCCAGGTTCGAATCCCACCGTTGGCCGGGATTTTTTCATTTAATTTAATTATTTAAAATTAATTCTGATGCCTTGGTAGGATTATCCACTCGGCCATTCACTGTTGGGTTCTAATTAACAGTGCTGTTCCTAAAGTGGTGCTGGAAAACAGTAACAAAGCCTACACATAACACGATGCTAATAACCGTAGTAGTTGATGCCGATGACACAAAAAAAAATAGAGATAGGTCGATAATTTGAAATATCTCGTCGGTCTCCTTTCTTGAAAATGGGACAGACCTTTGAGGATTTCCAGATCCCTGGTATTGTAGCCTATTTTAAACAAATATTAATTAGTATAGAGAGAGGACGAGCAAGCACAGAAGAACAATCTTTTAGGATAAAAGCTGGAATATCATCTGATCCGGTGGTCTTTTTTGGCGTAAGTCATCTTAGTGTCTCAGATACTTCCTTTTCACTGAAGCTTGTAATACTTTAAAAGTGATTATTATTTGTCCCAGAATTGTGTTGAAAAGGGGAAGAAATAGTATAGGATTGTTTAAAAAGATTTGCAAAACCGTTTAGAATATTAGAAGGCCCCTCCAGCATTTGATCTTCAAAATTCAATACTTGTGATATTTTGGACTTATCTCGTTTATTATTTATAAATGCCCAAAATCTGTTGGGGTTATGTATTTCTTCCTCAGTTTTGCCTAAAATTTTCTTGTATGCAACATCAACACCATGCTTTATTTTCTAACGAAGGTGTTTCCTCAAAGGCCTGTAAATTACTTTCACGCTTGTATTTACGCAAAATTCTACTTTTAGCCTGTAAACCTTTAATAATTCCACCATTGCACCAACGAGGATATCTATTTTTGGATTTAAGTGTATACTTGAGACAGCAACGATCGAAGAAAACATTATGAAGCTTGCCATAGAAATATGTGTATTCATCTCCTGAATTATCAAAAGCTTCCAAGAAGATCCAGTCAAAAAGAGATATTTGTTCATACATTTGTGGAAAGTTGGTCCTTTTGAAGTTATAACTGTTCTGAAAACAGGATTGCAATTTACTTTTGAAGTTAGCCTTTATCTGTAGTAGACAAGTAATATCCAAAGCAGGATGATGTCGATCTTCGGTTACGAATGGATCTAGTGATTTCTCCACATGACATTCTCTATTTAGTTGGGGTAGGTGGGGCCTAGGGGGTTGATGGAGGTGAGTTCTCTTTTATGTCATTTTAGTTCCTTCTTCCTATCATAGAAACGATTTTAAGCATTTTTTGAAATCATCTTTCGTTTGTGATATAGCCGTTTGTAATGTTTTAAATTGTCACATCAATATTCTCACTACAATTTTAAAGTTCATTATTGGGATTGGAAAAGAATGAGCATTCGAAAAGTCAAAAGGGAGGGTGCATGTGTAGTTCTCGGAACATTTTTGTAAATTACCCCTAAAAATTATGTTTCATTCAGACTTGTGTGGGGGGTCAGGTAAATAATACGGAATAATGTGCAAAAAAATAGTTTTGGTTCTACCATCGAGATAGAATGAAGTAGAGACAACATAAATACTATTTTGCGATATGACAGATGGCCGCACTTCAAGTGACGGAAAAGTGTAATCAAAATTGTGACTTACATTCTTACTTTGATTTATTTATAGTCAATAATTTTATATTTGAAGATTGACGGAATAAAAATGTTTTTATATCAGTTTAAAAAAATGGCATTTATTATCATCAAAACTGAATAGTTCTACTAGCTCGAGTTTGATATATGGCGTAAAAGTGTAATGCAAAGGTGCGGTCACTTTTAGTATCGTCATAGTATCTCCTCTTTATTCTATCTCAATGGGGTTCTATAGACCGATGCGCTACCAGTGGCCCGCCCTGTATGGGTAATTAAAAAATATTAATGGATCTCTACTGTCTGAAAATATTTATTTTGCTATAAAAGTTATCTGCCAAAAAACGAGTGGTGTGAATACTGTATCGATATCGTTTCTAAAATAAGCTTGGGTCAAAGATAACATTTATGTGTTTCCTAGCAGTGAACATAGACAGCTTATTTTTTCGGGATGGAACACATTCATTCATCTTTCGTACGTCTGTATACCTACTTGTTTTAAATGTTTGTCGATATATGATAAAGTTTCTAGTAGATAAATAAATGGTAAGAAGATACTAATTTTGTTTAAAAAATGTTTAACGTTTCACTTATTCGATTATTGATATTGACCTCTATAACAACTAGGAACTGTATTTTATCCATTTTTGTAATGACTATCATTGATACTTTTTCATTTTCGGTTGTTAATAAAAGACGAGGCACGGATTACTTGAAG